CAATCGAAAGGCACCGGCCAACCAGGACCGCACAACGCCGCGACACCACCGATGCCATGGGGTACAGACTGCACAACGCCGCGACACCACATGTGTCATGGGGTACAAAATGCACAACGCCGCGACAACACCATGTCATGGGGTACAGACTGCACAACGCCGCGACACCACCAGTGTCATGGGGTACAGTCAAAAGGTCACGCCAGGCCGAGACGGCGCCACGACACCTATGTATCGTCGGCGTAGTCAAAGGACATCACCAAGCAGAGAACACCCCAGAGTACACCCAGGCCATCGCGATGAACCGGGGGATGAAGACAACGCCATCAAGATGGAAACGACGTGAAGCGCCGCCGCTGTCTTGGCCAACAGCAGCCGGCCGACCATGGATTTCTCCCATCCCCGGTCACATCTTCACGCAAAGAGCATCGCAGAGCAGCCGCCAACAGCACCGGGCAGCGCAGGAACGGGCGGCCCCAGATCCAGGTGAATCCAACCGGCAGAGCGACGCCGGTAGGCACCTTGACGCCGAGGGCACCAGTGAAGACCACCGGTGAGGCGCCCCCAGCAGGAAAAGCCACGAGCAGTGGCAGCCCACCGAGGGAGAAATGGGAGGTGGAGGGCTCCATGGCAGGAGCCACGACGCCACCTTCGTTGGCGAGCGCAAGCAGAAGCACGACGACGATAGAACAGGGGGGTGGCGGAGGAGGAAGACGCGGAGCACTGCAGTAGACGGTGACGAGTGGTTGAGGGCGGAAGGCGTCGGAGGCCGGCGAGAAGACGTCGAGCAGGAGGATGGAGGGCGCAGTTCCTAGCCACGAGGCAACGGCGGATGGAGCCTCCGCCGACAAACCAGGTGCCACTGCGGTGCCCCCAGTGGGTAAAGCCACGAACAGCGGCAGCCCACCGGGGGAACTGGGAGGTGGAGGGCTCCAGAGTCGCAGGAGCCACGACGCCGACTTCGTTGGCGAGCACCGCGAAGAAGCACGGCGACGACGGAGCAGGGGGCGCTGGAGGTGGGAGACGTGGCGGAAGAACCGCAGTCGGCGACGGCGAGTGGTTGAGGGCGGGAGGAGGCGGAGCCCAACCCAAGGACGCGGAGCAAGGGGCGGGGCGCAGCGCCAGGAGCAGCAGGACTCCGCCGATGCAGCCACGAATCGGCCACCATGGGGAAGGAGCTTCGCCAGATTGGATCTGGGCGGGCTGGGCCGATTGCGCGGGGAAGACATCAGGGTGCCGCCGCCGTCCCGGAACCGGCCAGGGCGGGGACAAGCGCCATCGGAGTGGACGAGGGAGGGGGCGCTGGAGAGGGGGCGCGGTGGTGGAGCGGCTCCGGCCAGATCGAGGGTTGGGGGAGGGGTTCTGGCACGGAGATTGGAACGAGACCGCCCCGCCGCCACCTTCCCTGGGCGCGGCGCAGCTTCGCGCGGCCGGCCCTTCGGCGACGGCGTTGCGGGGAGCGGCGGCGTAGACGGTGCTTGGGCGGCGGCGCTGGTTCCCCCCGTGTCGCCAGACGCGGGCGACGCGGGGGCCTCTATGCCTTTAACCACTATTGCTAAATGTAGTGAAGATCTCACCTGAATATCAAGTCAACTCAACGAGATTTACTCTCTAGTAAAAATCAGTTGCACGATCCATCATACTAATCACATGTAAATGGAGTATATCCAACAGCTCATGGCGCCGCTAACACACAAGTCAAGGCATCCATTGGTTGACAAACATCACGCTGCTGACACACATCATGGGGTCACTTACGGGCGTCCTCTCCCCTCAATGAACAGAGCATGGCATGGATGAAAGGCACGAAAACCCTATCTCGCGCGCCCACGAAACAGAGAACGCGAGGCAGAAAATCTGGGGCATTAGGTTTGCATCACGTACCTCTAGTTCATGGCTTCAATCAGATCACGAATTAGTCGCCTAGTCATGAGCTGCACCGGCGGCGACGGTGAAGGCGACATGAGAGAAGCGACCAGGAGATTCAGACTTAGAGTGAAGCGACACGACCCAACCATGCCATGTCAGCACCCTTTAAACGGAAACCGCCTAAAATCAGCACCGAAACCACTCAAGGGGGACATTTACCCAGTTTTGGAGATTTTGGGTCAAAATCATATCAAATTGGAGTTTAGGGGGGTATTCGTCCATTAGGCCACATTTGAGGGTGAAATATGAACTTCTTTCCTCCAGTATCATAACGGGCAATTTTGGGATGAGGATCCTCTAACCTACGGTACCTTGTCGTTTTGTCACTGACATGTTGGCATGTTGGGAAACTGGGCCACATGTTAGTAGCCAATGGCACATAGCGCACGGCAGAGGAGCCACTTAGGCTATTTTGACCCAAACAAATCGAACTCAGACTTTTTAGTGTTAAATCGAAACGGTTTTCATGTCAAATCTAATTTTCAGAGGATGAAAATTTATATTATGGGATTGAGGGGTAGCAATTATGATGAATCCTTGCAATGTCCCATTTTTTGTGAGAATTCGCTATAGTTACTAAAGAAAATTGTCATTTTCGTGACAATTAAATTTGACAAAGAAACATTTGATTTACCATGGTTAAAATTCTGACGTCGGACTTTTAACTTAACAGTAATTACTACCGACCGGTAACTGCTTATGGCTCTCTTCTTTTTCAAACCCTTGTTTTTATGCAAACAAGTACACGTATATCATTTAACTATACAAATAGCACAGAACAATTCGACATTAAAATGGTTTGAATAAAAAACATGGTTCAAATATATATGTTATATGGAGTACATGGCTTAAACATGAAATTAATACAATATCACTAACTTAATAGTTTTCAGTGTAAATGCACATATGCTCTACAAGATGAATTAGTAGTTGCACATGTGATTATAATCTTGAAGTTGTCAACGCAACCCTAAGAATTTGACAACATGCGATGCATCTTGTTCTGGGAGTCGGACATGTACTCCGGGCCTCTCAAAATCAGAAGTACTGGATGCTCTATCGTCATCATCTTCCATAATCATATTGTGCAAGATCACACAAATAAGTCATCACCTCCCACAACGTCTACGGATTCCACATATTTGCAACTCCACAAACAATACCCCTATGAGGTTGGAGCACTCCAAATGCCCTTTCCATGTCCTCCAACATGCGCAAGAACAAATGTCTACTCATCTGTAGTCGACGCTGAAAGCACAAGTGCTCCTTGGGTGATTTTGGTAATTAATGTCAACATATCTCTTGTTGGACTAATAGTTTTATCTAGCTCATTTCAGATAAGTTCAACACTAGAGTGGCAAGGAACAGAGGATGTGGAACCCTTTGAAAATGCTAAGGACATGGATTGGTGATATGTCTCCAACGTATCTATAAATTTTTATGGATGTTT